CCCGATTGGCCTGGGGCCCCTCTCCAGCCAGCTCTGCCCATGATTGGCCCCTCCCCACACCAATCAGGGGTGGGACTGGCTGGCTAACCTCTCATGGCCCCTCCCCCAGCCACTGATCCCTAACCGACCCCCTCTACCCCATTTGGGGCAGGGCTGGCCGGCCCACCATCCGCAGCCCCTCCCCACAGCCAGACCCGCCCCCAATCGGCCCCCCAACCCCAATCAGGTGCAGGTCTGGCCAACCTCCCACCATCTCCTTCTCCCAACAGACTGGCCCCAATCTGCCCTGATCGGGGCCTGGCTGGCCAGACCCCACCCGTGCACAAATTTGTGCACTGGGCCTCTAGTCTATAATAAATGCATAATATGCTCATTAGACTGGACGACCTTCCAGATGAAGCCACGGTGGCAGGGGCTGAGGCAGAGGCTGCTGCAGCGGCAGCGCGGGCCGAGTCCTTGCACGATTTTTGTGCAGTGAGCCTCTAGTAAGCTATAAAAGCTGAAGCTCTCTCCCAGTATGCATACCCAAATTATAATTTTGTGCTAGTATTTTATCTATCTTATGTAGTATCTGAATCAGTGCTATCTCTAATGTTTGCAAAATAAGGATGGAGATTTATTATTCAATAGCACCCCACTCATGGGTATATGTAATATTTGTTTGATATTACTTGATTGGAATGACTATATTGGAAGATTCACAGTTATAGATTGTATGCTAGCAAATACAGTTAGATTTTTTTTCATGTGTGTGTATAAGTAAGTGAAGAGCTTTTTTTTTTACTTATTTGAATTTTCCAAATTTGTACAATGATCCTATGAGGATCCTAGAGGCCTGGTGCACTTAACAAGGGCAATAAAATAAGAAACTAATGACCTAATATATAAGATACAGACTAATTTTAAATTTAGTTTTGAACCTTGGTCCATCTTTAACTTTACCTGACTGGTAAGTACTCTTTTCTTGTATTCTAGCCATATAATTTATGTACTTACACCTAAAAGTAAGAAGTCTGCTTGACATGGCTTTTCAGTCCACATGTTGTTCTCTGGTGACTTATCTGCAGCTCAAACCTTTTTCCAGGATTACTGTTAAGAGACATGCCTCTTTCTGCTTCTAGTTTAGATAGAAGTGTCTTCCTTACCAAGAAGAAATCAAATAACACATACATGGCACAAACTAACTAAAGTTGAAGTTTTAAAATTCTTTATTACATTAACTTTAGTAATCTTAGTAGATGAATATAAGGTAGTTAGTAATCTGGTTTGGTCACTGAAAAAAATGAAACATTTTTGAAACCTCACCTAACTGTGTAGTATGAAGACTAGAACTAGTTATGCTTTCATATCTTTAAGAAAGCAGTATGATTAGAAGAACCTTCACTGCTGCTCTATGCCTCTAAACTACGGAGGAGAGATGAAGTCAAGCTTCTGAGGAAATCCCAAGGCAACTAACTGCAGTCAAACAATGTCTGGAAAGCTGCAGGTAGAAATGCATTACATGAAAGCTCAAATTTGCTTCAAAACCTGGGCTACTTAAGTCTAAAATTAAATTCACATTTTCTTACAAGGAAATTAGAAACATTTAAGAAACTATTAACTCTATTTTGATTCCCAACAGTTATTTATAACCTTCTCAGAAAATTTTGTATTAGGCGTAGCTGTTTTGTTTGCTATTCTGTTACTTATGAAGTTATAACCTACTTCAATTATTCAAAAATGAGAGTAGCATTTGTGTATACAGTCACAGTTTAACCAAAAGGTAGTTAACTTGAATTTCTAATTGGGAATGAAGAAGGGTGTTAAATGTTTTTAAAAATGTGCAATAATATAAACAATGGTTTGATAACATCTAGCATTAATGCAATATAAAGATTAACTGTTTTAAGACCAAACTCAACAAACTGACTTTTAAAGAACACAGCTATCTTAATTCATTAAAGTGTGTTTCACAGCTGCTATGATGTGTCTGGCACTGATTCCAAACATATCCAGCAATTCGCAAGGTTTCCCACTTCGAGGGACTCCTGACACTGCCAGCTGATGAACAAGGATGTCAGGCTCCCCAGACACAGCGGCACATACTGCTTCTCCAATGCCACCTTCCCGGTAGTGATCTTCCACTGTGATAACCCGACCGCCTGTAGCTTTTGCATTGGAGATGATGGTGGCAGCATCCAGGGGTTTAATGGTAAATGGGTCAATGACACGGATGGAAATATCTTGTTCAGAAAGACGGTCAGCAGCTGCTAAGGCTTCATGGAGAGTAACCCCGGCTCCAATTACTGTGACTTTGTCATTGGCACTGTGGCGGATGACCTTGGCCTGTCCAATCTCAAAATGTTCTTCTGGGGTATAAATAACTGCAATTTCTGGTGGGCCAGTCCGAATGAAGCACATGCCTTTGGCATTGGCGGCCAGGCATACAGCGTGCTCTGTCGAGACGGCATCGCTTGGATAGAACACGGTGCAGTTGGGGATGCTCCGGAACATGGCTAGGTCCTCCAGGGCCATCTGGGAGGGTCCGTCCTCACCGATGGAGAGCCCGCAGTAGGAACCAACCAGGTTGATGTTGGTTTGGGAGATGGCCCCCATCCGGATATGATCAAACGCTCGGGTCAAATAGGCCGCGAAGGTGCTGACAAAAGCGACGGTGCGGTCGCGCGTGGCACAGCCCAGCGCCACGCTCACCATGTTTTGCTCGGCCATGAAGCACTCGATGAAACGCTCGGGGTGCTCTTTCTTGAACATCTCGGAAAAGGTGGCGTTCTTCGCGTCCCCGTCCAGGACAATGACCCTTTTATTGGCATGACCCAGTTTGGCCAGGGCCGAGCCGTAGGCCCTGTCGGTCGCCACCTTGTCCCCCACTTTGTAAGCGGGCAGCGAGGCCATCTTGATGTTCTTGATGCTGATGCGGGGCGAGTCCTCCACGGGCGGCCTCGGCGTCAGGTTCCTGTTGGTCTGGATCTGGCTCTCAATCAGCTTGATGATGGCGTCGGCTCTCTCCTTGGGCATCGGCTTCCCGTGCCAGTTCTCGGCGTCCTCCACGTTCGGGATGCCCCGGCCCTTGAAGGTCTTGGAGACGATGGCCGTGGGCTTGTTCTTCACCCGCGCCGCCTGCCAGAAGGCGTGGCACAGGGCCTCCACGTCGTGGCCGTCCACCAGGTAGGTGGTCCAGCCGAAGGCCTCGCAGCGCTTCTGGTACATGTCGGTGCAGTGCTCCAGGGGCGTGGGCCCGCTCTGCCCGAGGCGGTTCACGTCGAAGACCGCCACCAGGTTGTCCAGACTGTAGTGGGAGGCGAAGGCCAGCGCCTCCCAGATGGAGCCCTCGGAGGACTCGCCGTCGCCCAGGAGGCAGAAGACGCGGTAGCTGGCCTTGTCGAAGTACTTGCCGGTGTAGGCCATGCCGCACGCGGCCCCCAGCCCCTGCCCCAGCGACCCGGAGGCCA